ATCTCAGACTGGCTTTTTGAACATGACAATGAGTTCACTGTACTCAAATGGCCTCCACAGTCACTAGATCTCAATCCAATAGAGCACCTTTGGGATGTGCTGAAATTAGAAATTCCAATCATGGATGTGCAGCCGACAAATCTGCAGCAATTGCATGATGCTATCATGTCAACAAGGACAAAATCTCTGAGGAATATTTTCAGTACCTTGTTAAATCTATGCCACGAAGGATCATCAAGGCAGTTTCGAAGGCTAAAGGGAGTCCAACCCAGTGCTTGTAAGATGTACCTAATAAAGTGGCCGTTGAGGTTATATGTTATACAGTAAATCAAAAATAAATTATACCCTTTTTAAAATAATGCACCAACACTAAATCACACACACAGTGGAAAGACACAACAATCCTACAAGGAACACTTTGTTCAAAAAAAAAAAAAAAAAAGGCAAATCTTTTATTAATACTGAATTTAAGCCTGTAGAGATTAAACATTGAACTTATATTTGACTTGGAATTGTTTAGTAAATATAAAGTTAGTTTTGAGGAAATCAAAAAGAAAAAGAGGTGAAACATCACAACTTTCTGATATTAGCGTTCCCTTCATGGGAATTTAACCTTTTTCACTGTTTTATAGCTGAATATATATAGCTTTCCTTAAATCTGGGGTTATTTTTCTATTTTTCAAAATACTGTGGTTTCTGTATTCAGTTGGTAATTGGTGTGTTTGTGCTACCTTGTGATGTGCAAGTATGTTATCAAATAGATTTGAACAACTATCCACTGGATTGTTTATTTTTTTAGGTAAAGCTTTAGAAACGTGACTACTTTGAGTAAAAATTTTAAACAAAATTTTAAACTTCTGATTGAAAAATTACTCTTAAATAATAATGATTTTAAACAACTTGGTTAAGCAAATTGACCATACATCATATTTAAGTGCAAAAATCTTGGCAAAGAAAAATTAAGTACAGTTTATTTATATATATATATATATATATATATATATATATATATATATATATATATATATATATATATAGTCATTGTTTTGAGTGTGTAAACCTGTTGAACCACCAGCCACCCTTGTCCTCCTGAGCACAGTTGCGGTCATAGCGATCATGATCTCGATCTCGTGTGCTAAACTTCATGCCCTGATGACTGGCCCACCACTGCACCTCTGGATGAAAACTGCCAGACAGAGCATCTCCAGCAGTCCCAGAGTACATACCAAACTGGAGCTGGTAATGCTTCTATGGAGACAAATGGGACAGTCAAAACATTAACCAAGTAAATAGTAAACAGATTATATATTAGTTTTATATATATATATATAAAGGCATAGTTCACCCCAAAACAACAATTTAGTCACCATCAAGTGGTTCCAAACCTTTGTAAGTTGCTTACTTTTGTTGAACACACAAAAAAAAAAGATATTCTGAAAAAAATGTTGCAAACCGGTAACCATTGACAATACTATAAAAGTCAATCGTTACCAGTTTTCAACATTTTTCAAAATATCTTCTTTTGTGTTCAGCAAACAAAAAAACTCAAACAGGTTTGGAATAGGGTAAGTGTGTGTAAATGGTGACAGAATAAATGTCCTTTTTTGGGATGGAGGGGGGGGTGTTGTTAAACCTTAATGAACATAGAACAATTTTATACAACATTTTAATGCCGCAATTATGTATTAAATTTATGCATTTATCACAGTAAATTACGAGAAAGGAACAAAAGCAAACAACATGAGATATACTTTGCCAGGATTATTTTACAGACAAGGAATTAATAAGATTAAAAACCTCTTCATTATCCACTTTGAAATTCCTGTACACTGCAAAACGGTGGGTTCCCTCAAAATCCTCCAGATTTATTCTTAAGGTGTAATCACCTGTATAAGAAAATGTGTTTTACTGCAATAATAATACAATAAATATTAGCAATCTAAAATTATATAAAAAGAAAATAGAAAATGATACTTCCCATGCATAAATTTTATAATATATTGTAATATAATATTAATATAGTTGAGGTGTGTGGTTTTTAATGTGCTTTTTATGTCAACACACTCACCTTGAGATGTTAGATAATGCAGATTATCATTCCCCAACCAGAACTCTCCATTAGCAGACTTCATGTCACCAAATCCTATTTTGTAATCATTCCAATCTCTAAAGGGAGAATCGAATACAAAATTTCATTAGTACACAGTAGGCTACACACCTCTTCTCAAATAAATAAATAAATAAATAAAAAAAACCTTGTCAGTACCTGTCAAACGACAGACTGCCATCAGAGCGCCTCTGGAAGAGCGTCCATCCACCGCCCTCTGTCATATCACAGAACACTCTGACCCGAGTTGGACTTCGCAGCGGTTTAATCATATAAAACCCACTGCTCGTGCTGCCGTTTTTAAAGATCTGCGCACAATCTGGCAGATTGATTTTTGGTTAGTAGCCTATTTATTCTCGCTATATTTAGACAAATGCAACATATTTACTCAGGAATATACCATATCTTAACAAAATAATAACCCATGTACTGCGTGTCTCCAGTGTCATAAAACGAGCCCTCTTTCAGGGAACGGTCATCCATCTGGTTGATGTTCATTAATCGGTGAATAAGTTGCTGCTGCTTTGTGTGGCGAAGCTCCAAACTCCTCAACTCCACCCGAAGACGCTCGATCTCATCTTGACAATCATCCGGTGCCTATACAAACATACACATAACACACTTTTTGATTTGACATGCAATTTAAAAACAGCCACACTTTACAATAGGTTTCATTAGTTAATGTTCATATGTTAACATGGAAAAGTGAACAATATACTGTACAGTATTTATTAATCATAGCTTAACATTATTAAAATGCATTAATATACTAAATCAAATTCAAGCTTGGTAAGGAATAGTTTACCCAAATAAGAAAATTGTCATAATTTACTCGCTTTTTACTTGTTTAAAGCCTTTTAAGAAGCTTCTTTTTTCTGATAAACAATTATATATTTTGAAAATGTTTAGAAACCTGTAACCATTGACTTCCATATTTGTTTTCCTACAATTGAAGTCAATGTTTACAGGTTTTCCACTTTCTTCAGAATATCATCTTTGTTGTTTAACAGAAAACATAAACTTACAAATCACTTGAGGGTGAGTAAATTTCTATTTTGGCGAGAACTGCCACTTTAACGTTGGTTATTGCACTGTGAGTTAACATGAACTAACAATGGACAACTTTTTTCATTTGCTATCATAAAAAACATGAAAAATACTGTATTTAATTAATAGTATATTGTTTTTTTCATGTAAGCTAATGCAACAACTACCATTACATAACTACCAATACAAGCTTAAAGTGTTACTGTAAAGACAAAAGAAATCAGAATGGATTTTAAGCAAGTATACTTACAGAGTCTGACAAATCCAGAGTGCAAAGCATCCACATGATGAACAAGACAGACATGGTTTATAACCCTCCAAGCGCATCAACAAAAGTTATTTTATGCACTAAAGAACAACTGCAAACTTGTACAAATGTTTCAGAGGTCTGTTCTGGAGCCAGACAATGTTTCCTGTGGTTGGATGTGAGCTTAGAGCTGAGTCACTGCAGATCTAAACAGATGTGCGGATAACTGCAAACAGCTCCTGATAATATCTGAAGTAACAAGACTAAACTGCTTTGTGAAAGTTAAAATGTAATTTTCTTTTACTTCAGCAACTTCAGTTTGTTTAAATAAAAATGTAAATAAGTTCAGAATTTAAAATAAAAGTCAGAATTTGGAGTAATGGCCCTGATTGTGTAAATACGAAAAGTGAATATATTTGTTTACCCAAGTAATAGAATTCTAAATTAGAATACCCAAGTGATTTAATTCTGAATAAAGAATGTTTTTTCTACAAGGTCGAATGCCTGATTTGATTCACCCATAAAAACAAAATGAGAAAAACATGCGAGACATGCTCATCTCTGAGCGAGAGAGAGAGAGAAAGCACGAAAAAGAGTAACGAGTGTTTTACTACAAACAATAAAAAACCTTTAAGCTAAGGATCTCTGGTTGGAGTCAGACATAGTAAATAAAGGGTGAAAAAAAAAAAAAAATCAGTAAATATGTTTTGTTTTCTGGCCAGACACTTTATTAAGCTGTTAAATTTAATTCAAACTGTCACATACCTTTAGTAAAATAGTTGTGTAATAAATGACAGAAAAACTGTAAAAACCGATTACTAAAACCAGTTGCCTTAAAAGCAATAGTTTACTACCTTAAAAGTGAAAATTTACTGTATAAAAAGTGAGTAAATCCATTGCAATTTATAACTGTTAAGTTCACTTACAATTTTTTTTTTTTTATAATTATGCACAGTTCAGTTACTTCTATTTCTATTTTACAGCAATGGGTTTACTCACTTTTTAAAAAGCAAATGCAACCAACTGCTTTAAACACAATGTTTTGAAAACTAAAATTCTCACTATTTACTCAACCTTACATTTAGGCACTTCCTTTTTTCTGTTTTACACTTGGAAAACAAATACTATGGATGTCAGTGGTTACAGATCTCCAATTTTCTTTAAAATTCTTTCTTTAATTTTCAACGGAAGAAAGAAATCCCATATTTGGATCAAGTTTGAACTGTTTTGGGGGAACTATGCCTTTAGCTGAAGTCAACCAATTGCTTTATACAGTGAAATAAACAAACGTTATTGAATAACTTTTGTCATAGCAAAGAATGTATCTGGTCGGCATCAGAAAAAAATATTATCCTAAAATAACTTCCTCACACTTTTGCTATTTCCTTATCAATCAGTCTGCAGAGTCAGATATACATGTCATAATAGTGCGCATTATAATCTATTTCATGCTGTTCTTAATTACAATGCGCATAGCAAAGTCATTGTAAATATTGCATTTACTGAAGCAAAACTGCATTGTAGTATTATATAACAGTTATACTATATCTGAAAATAAGGACTAATGTTAGTCATACTAGCACAAGAATTTGTATTTTCAACACAAAAGAATTGCCCACAGAGCCATTTTAAAGTACAAAAATACAGTCCTCAGTGTGACAAAAAATAAACTATATTATCAAAATCCTAAAGATAAAGCAACACTTGAACGGATTTGTTATTTACATCTCAAACAGCAAATAAAAACATTTAAAATGTTTCAATTTGTTATGCAACACAGACATTTATATTTTTCAGAATGGCACAAGAGTTGATAAAGTGACAAAAATTGTGTGTGTCCACAAGAAGAGATATGTGAAAGTTCAGAGGTAGAATTCAGCCATTACGATTTTAAACGTGCTCTTTCCTATACTTTGTTCCTTTAATCGCAGTGCCATTGGTTTCAGTTTGTTCGGAGTTGATGGCAGATTACCATGGTGTGCATGGATTTGGACAGTCTCTGACATAAGACTCCAGTGTTCCAGTGGACACTTCCATCAGTGAGGTGTATGTTGTCAACTGTAAATACAGGACAGGAAATGGACTCTTCACTTTATACATCATTTTAAAGCACAAGCTTCAAGTTAAATAATAATGTTTCGTTAAAAACATTACACAAACTAGATGACTTTTTAATACATAATATAAAAGGTATGTAGCCTTGCATTTATTATTATTATTATTATTATTATTATTATTATTATTATCATTATCATTATTATTACTGCTATACTCAAATTGCTGATAGCCACTGACTTGCATTTTATGAATCAACACAGACCACAGTTTCAGCTAAAAATCTTTAACTTGTTTAAATGAAGAAAAAAAATATTACCTAGTAATTAGTGAGCAAAATAACAACAAATTTTCATTTGATTTAATTTAAAATGGCTTTGGGTGAGACTCTTTAGATATTACACAACTTCAAAACTAATAAACCTAGTGTATTGTGATTTTTTTTTTCAAATTAATGCTTACCTTATTAAGAACAGGTTTTGTTGACAGAACATTATATATTGATGCCAGAGAAATGTTCTGTAGGGAAAAAAAAAACATCTTCATTAAGTTGTGCTCTTTATTTATAGTGGTATTAAAATGAATTAAAATACTTTTTTAATCTGCCCCTACAAATATATTCTAGATAGATGGATAGATATGTAGATATATTTGTTTACTTATTACCACATCAGCAACTTATACAAAATAAATATACAAAAAAATTACATGATAAGAACAACTTTATATTTGAATAAGAGATGATACACAAACTAATATATAAATAGAAATAAATAAATAAAGTTCACAAAGAAATATACATTAAAAGTTAAATACTGTATATTTTTTCCAATTCAATATTTCATAAATAACTTCAAATTCTTTCTGGTGCTACCTTTTTAAAAACATCCATCAAGGTGTTTTATTATTAAAAAATTGTCTAATGGTACTTAAACTTTCACATTCTAACAAAATATATTTCATGGTAAGAGCAGCTTTTAGACAGACAATCAATTCAACACAAAATGGCACATACCGCTTGTGTGGTTTGATTCATGCACTTCATTGCCGGTGTCCGGCGGTCATCCAAGAACATAGGCTTATCCCAGTGATCGTAGTTTGTCTCCAAGACGTACCATCTTCCAAGCATTAAGTCAAGTCTTTAACATAAACAACAAGAACAACAAATTCAGACGCCAATTAAAATAACTGCAGACAGATATTTAATACTTTGGTCTGATATGATTTACTCACTCCCAGATGTCTAATGTGTTTATTCTGGTCCTGGTAATCACACAACCCTGACCTGTCCGATTACCACCCAAGATGAAGTAAACTGGAGCCAGTAGTTTCGTCTGAGAAAGCTGGTCTTTGGCATCTTCATAACTAAGTAATTAAAGACTGATGATTAATAATATATACAGTGCTCAGCATATACAAGTACACCCCTCACAAATCTATCTTTTAAGATAATATTTTTAATAAGCTATACAATATTATATTTGTGCATTTACATTAGATTAGTCAGTACTGAGGACAAATCTGGAGCTTATTTAACAAAATAACTTACGATAACGGTCCAAAAACTAGTACCGCCAAATTTGTATGTTATAAAAGAATATTAAATACAAATAAAAAAAAAACAGAGTAAAAAAAAAATCAAGAGAAGGAAAAATAAATAAATAAAAAAATAAAAATGGAAAAATTTAGTTAATATTTTGTAGGTTGTAATTTTTTTGCAATAATTTGCTTGAATTTAATTGTATTATCTTTCAATTTTTAAATATGTTTGGTGACTAAAATATTATTTTATTAATTATGTCCGTTTTGTTTAAATGCACCAAAATACATTGCCTATATTCACAAAAAAATTTCTTAAAAATATTCATTTTCAAAATTGGGTGTACTAATTTATGCTGAGCACACACACACTCGCGCAAACAAAAACATTTAAAATAACTTTTGTCAAAATAAAATGTCAGAATATGGCTTAAATCTTATATTCCAGTGTTATATATTATTATCATGCTAAATTTTTTTATACATTTTAAATTATTCAAAGGGCTCTTGTTCAAAAAAACATTTAAATTACTTTAAAGATATAATACTATAACTCTGAATGGCATATGTGTGTGATCATGTAAACAACAAGAAACCTAAAATTATTGCTGCTTTAGTTTTGTTTAGCTTTTTTTCTATCATGATGTTTAAAAACAGCTTTGCATGTTCATATACAGTATTTTCTTGATCTCTTGATGTTTTTTAGGTTCCCCAAAAAAAGTGAGAAACAAAACATTATTGGTAAAGACTGTGAAACTAAGGAAGTTGCGCTTTCATATTATGCAAGGCTGTTTTTGGTTTTACCTGGTAGAATTTTCCAGAACTCTGCGAGTAAGAAAACCCGTCCACATTCCATCTCTATTGCCAAAAATCCAGTCCAGGATCCCTGTGAGAATTCCTCATGTTATCTAACCAGTCAACCATAAAACACATCTACAGTAGTTGCACCCATGATTTGAAGAGGAAAACACAGTAGTTAACATTTGAAGTGAATTACGACCTTTCATTAAATTTGTCCTAGAACTACTGAACAACATCTATTCTTGTCAGGACAACTATGATAAATCTTTTGATCCACTTCAAATGTTGACTATAGTAAATAGTTGGTTTAAGTCTTAGTTTTTTCAAACTGGCTAAGTTCTATTATAATGTCTATTGATACACTTGTCACTAAAAAAAATCATGTCAAGATAATAATAATAATAATAATAATAATAATAATAAAATCTTACCTATATATCCCCCATCAAAGTCGAAGCGTTCATTCATTGTTATAGTCAGTTCACCCTAAACAATAAAACAATGAATTATTTAATAAAACTGTAATAAATTATCAACAAAATGATTCATTTAAATTTATTTAAATATTTATTCACTTACAGGCCTAATACCAGTGAGCATGCCAACATATCCAGCAAAACTTGTTGATTTAAAGACTGTTTGGTTTTTCCTTTCGAAATTGATGTTCACCACAAGAGGCTTAAGCTTCTCTGTTAAAGTCCAGGTTTTATTCTGTCGATCCCACCTTCATGAAAACACAACAATCTCATTTTATGAAAAATAGCATCAATGCTTTTGTTTAAAAAATATGTAGCAAGTAAATATATCTTACCCCATAAACAGTCCAAAGTCTAAATTACGGCCATGATAAATATTTCCTGAAAAGAGAGAGGAAAAAAAAAACACTTAAAAGACATTAGATGAGACATTTTATAACACATTTTTCTTCTTTCTTTTGACATGCAATGTTATCTTCTCACCATTAATGTCTTCTGCAACAAGTGATGTGCAAACTGTGAAAACCTCATAAAAGATATTGAACAGTGCAATCTCACCTAAAGACACATATCATGAATTAAAACATACATTAAACATTAAGTTGCACTTACATGTAATGTAAACAATATATAAAAAAAACTGAATTAACAAAAGACAAATCTTACCCAAAGGTATGCCAGAAACTGCTGCTATTCCCTTTATTTCTTCATTAAAAGGGTATGGAAGGGTGTCCACAATAAAAGGCTGTGAAACAATGACCATGAGCAATAACAAATAAAATACAATACAATAATAATGTTACAAAATGTATCTCTCAAAGAGTATTACTCTAAAAGCATTTCCTAAAATTAGTTTGTTTATACATTTAGTTGCTTACCAGCTCCTTATCCACAAAATTAACAAGTTTTCCATGGAAAAACCCTTTGGCCATGTCTTTTATAGTCTGTACCATTTCAATCAACTGAAAAGCAAAAGCAACATGATTTAATCAAACAGGAACAATCTGATTTGATTAACTGTAATGGGCAAAGAAACCAAAAGTATGCTTCAGTTTTCTGTTTTTCTTTTTACAATCACAACTTAACTTTACTTTGATACGTGTTGTATTGATATTTCATTCAAACCACATCCGAATTGATTTGAAACCAAGCTAAATTTTTAGGGGTCTATATCCCCTTCCATTGTGTATGTCAGAGTTTAAATGGTGTTTAGAATAGTAAAAATAAACCCTTACTATTCATATCATATAAAGCTATGGTAAAAGTAGTATGCGAGTGGGATTTTTTCAAAATCAGACATGTTATTAAAAAATATTTAAAACATGGCAGCAGAAGTATTCAAAGCGACATAAACACAAGAAAAACGTGACAGATCAAGGTCCAAACGTTAACAGGTTATGCATTAATGTGGGAAACAGTTACCTCTGTGTTTTTATCTTTGATGATTTGTGTCCATCTCTCACTAGGGGGCAAATCAAGATTTACAGTGTACCAGGTCACGTTTCCTCTGTAACTAAATAAAATCATTAAAGAAGACATGTTATTAACACCAAACATGAACTTATTCGAGTCTAGACCACAAAGTGGATAAAATGTAAGAGCATAAATAATTGGAAATAAAATAAGTTGTACGTTGGTCCTTTAGGTGGATACATCCCACTTCTGCAATCCTCCAGCTGCAAAATACAGCCCAACATAACCATAAAGCGTGACACAAGCAAAACTGAATAAAACAGCTCTCAAAACAGCGAAATGATCTTTAAAATATGATAAAGTAAGGTCTTACCCCTTGAACATAGAGTGCGTGAATAAAAATGGATATAAACAAAGCGTTGTAACGGAACACAAGCTTCATCGTTTTGCCTTAAGGATCTTCAAAGATTCAGTCAGTTCATTACAAAACGCGTTGCAAGAAATAAATTTCACGCCGGAATGTACCATAATGTAAGGGGTGCTTGAATACAGTAGATGTTGGTTGGATGGTTTAAAAAAGATTGACAGACAATGCATTTATTTTTTAATATTAATAATAAGTAATATTATAATTGTAAAGACTAAATGAAATGTAATCGGTTTTGGCTGTGCTTGTTTATGAGTCCACCAAGAGCACAAACACCCCCGACAATGAAGATTGAGCTTCACTCGGCACGTAAACAAGGAAGTTGAAGTTCATTCGTTCGTTGTTTTGGTCTGTCAACGAGCGTGACTGGCGAGGGCATCACGAGTGTGCAAATTTACCGGCCGCATCAATACGGAAATAAAAAAAAAAAAATCACGAGTTCTTTTTGCCTCTCACTTAAGTGGAAAGCCCATTACTGCACCGTAAGATTCAAAAGCAATTGTCATCATAAATTAATATAAATAATATATGATTACTGTATAAGATACAAAGTCGAAATTATACTATAAAATTAGACAATTATAACTTTTTGGATCATAAAAAATATGGTTTAAACTAATGATTTTGATGTTATCACATCATTATGATTTATTTTATTGTTTTAAAAAACTTTACTACAACATTTCAACATTTCTACTTAACTACTCACTTTCATTTTTTTTCTGTTTCATAATTATAACGTTATATATTTAGCAATGATCAGCATTTGTGTGTAATAATAATGTCATCATTGTTACATTTAAATAATGAATTATCAATAAATTTATTATGAGTTCTTTTAATTACCCAAATAATACTTTTCTTATCTGGTGATTTTATACTTTTAAAAATACTTTAATACCGTATTAAAGTCAACGTTTTATTTTTTGTTTATATTTTTTATTTATTTTATTTTAATACTTCCCCCATTTTTCAATTTGTTTACTTTTTGTCATAATTTCTGTAAAAATTGTGAGTTTAATATTTTAATCTTTAATTATAATGATAGATGATAGATTACTGATGCAACAAACTTCACTTGCATTGACTCAGTATATCCAGCAGGAGGCAATATATTCCTGCTTAGTGTCACAAAGTGTTATTCATGAAATATTTTCAAAAATCTTTAGGAAGACCCTTACCACATTATTTTCACCACATTTAACATCTTACATTACTTTAAGTTCACAGCAATATTAGAAATGAATACAAAGACAAAAACATTTTTATCAAAACCATAAAAGACGAGCAAATTCTGATACAGCATTGTAAAACTGATACAGCACAACATAAACATTGAGATTTCTGGATTGCCATCTTAATCCACATCATGCATTTTTCCATTCCTTTTTCATTGATTTTCACAAATCCATCCTTCTTTCCCTCTTGGGCAATGATGAGGCGCTTACCAGTGACTGACTTCAACAAAACACTGCTTTCTCTGCATTTCTCAAACCATGAAAAAGTATTTTCTCAAAGTGACAGATCAGCTTGTTCAGCAAAACTAATCCAATCTCGCCAAATGGACCATTCTAGAGCCACCCTCAGTTTCTTTTACAGAGAAAGAGCATCTCTAATCCACAAAAAACTGGGCCCATGGATCTCAACTTTGGCTAAAGCGGATCAGGTAACAGCTCACAGGTTACTGTATATGATGGCAGGGGAGAGGGAATATAAACTGTCAGTGAACGATTTGTGCTGAAATGTGGTCTTTTTTGGGTGTGTGGAATTAGTCTATACACTTATTAAAAATTTATATATATACTAGTTTTTAAAGTGAATTTTATCTAAGGATTTATTTGCTAAACTAAGTTATGTACAAGGCTGCAAGGTGGCGCAGTGGGTAGCACTTTACGAGCACGTCAAGCACCTCACAGCAAGAAGGTCGCTGGTTCAAGCCTTAGCTGGGTCAGTTTTTGTGTGGAGTTAGCATGTTCTCCCCAAGATGGCATGGGTTTCCTCCGGGTGCTCCAGTTTCCCCCACAAGTCCAAAGACATGCGGTTTAGGTGAATTAGGTAAGCTAAAACTGTCTGCAGTGTATGTGTGTGAATGAGTGTGTATGGATGTTTTTCATTGATGGGTTGCAGCTGGAAGGGCATCCGCTGCTAAAAACATTTGGTGGATAAGTTGGTAGTACATTCCACTGTGGCGACCCCAGAACAATAAAGGCACTAAGCCGAAAAGAAAATGAATGAATGAATGAATGAAGCTATGTAAAAGTTAAATTGTTTGTTAAATAATTTTTTGATTTAGTTATTTTAAGTTTACTTTACAACACAAGTACATTTCACTATCAAAAAAGGCTATTATGCAAAAAAAAAAAAAAAACCCCAAAAAAAGGATAGATACAACTGGAAAATGGTGAACAATTCTAAATGCCCCTGAGCATAACACTGAAGTCAGAAGGTTGAGTAGGTTTTATTTAAAAGTATTACTTTGATTTTTCTTCAAAGATTCATTGTAAACACAAAATAATTACAAGTAAAATAGGTATAAATTCATTCATTGATTTTGCTTCGGCTTAGTCCCTTATTAATCAGGGGTCGCCACAGCAGATTGAACCACCAACTTATCCAGCATATGCCCTGCAGCCGCAACCAAGCACTGGGAAACTCATACACTATTGCATTCACTTACATACACTACAGCCAATTTAGCTTAACCAATTCACCTACAGCGCATGTCTTTGAACTGTGGGCGAAACCGGAGCACCCAGAGGAAACCCATGCTAACATGCAAACTCCACACAGAAACGGCAACTGACCCAGACAGTGCTAGCCACTGAGACACCATGTCGCCCCTATAGGTATAAATGTGTTAATTTCCACAATTCTGAATTAAGTACTAATAGGTTTCTTTGATTTCTATTCTTGCCTGAACTAAATTATTATATGAAGAAATAACTTTTTTTCTGGTGTATTTGCTTTATCAGAAAATATTATTGTCACTATCTGAATTGTTACTTAAAGTTGTATTTACATAGTAAGTAAGAATGAAAAAAGAAAATAAGAAAAAAAACTAAATATATTAAGTACATTTTTTCTTTCAGCGAGTGGAGAATAATGACAACATGAATTAATGATGATGATGTAAAAAACTTTTATATCAAGTAGCTCAGTTTATTAAGTTGAATATACAGGAGACCTAGACACCCATAATTAATTCATTTTTGTGTTTCATTCTGTTTTCTTATGAGTTTGACAAATCTAGATTTTGTGTCTCTGTGTGTGTATGGGTGTTAAGTAAGTGTGACTAAAAATGTTGTATTACCAGGCCAGTAGGGGACGATCTTACTTTATATCTGCCTGTGCATTTGGGTTCAGTAATCCTATGCTGCATCTCAATTCACATACTTTTTTGTAAAGGAAAAGTACATACTTTTCAGTGTGTAACAGAAGAGTATGCAGGCTCTATTTCAGGTTAACAGACCTTTATGTTGCTTATTTACATCTCCTGTCATTCAATCTGACACATCATCCACATTTCTTTCATATTTAATTACCTACTTATTTTTGAAGCAGCAGCAGAATAATCTGCCAGTTGCGAGTCTTTCATGCAGAGAAGTCTCCTCATTTCTTTGGGTAAATATGCAATCAGAAGTTAATGTCCAAACATATCTTGATATAAGATCACATTGTTGTTGCAGATGAGATATAACACGGAAAATATGTTTTTAATATGGCTAGATATTGATTAACAGTCATTCAAACAACCTTAGTCTTTATACTTGACGGTTGGCCTCGCGTGTCTGTCATGTTTGTTTACACTTTTTATCTAAGTTTATAATTCTAATCAAATTCACGTCCAAAGTGCAATGTATGGTGGGCAATATTAGCGGTTAGAGTATGGACGCTTCTACACTTCGAATTTTTACCGTAACCATCTGGGAACCTTTGACATACTCTTTTCAACATACTATGGTTTGGGACATAATAATTCTATTTTTGAATACTTTTTAGAATGAATAGTATGCAAATTGGGGCGCAGCATCTGTGTTGTTTTTGTTGTCAATACTCATACATACCTACTGGACATCTTTATTTCAACAAATTAATTTTTAATTCAGTGTTAAAAATTAATTTAAGTCATTGTTTTCAAACTTGCATTTGAACCCCTAAAATAGGTTTCAGTGTTTAGTTGAAAATGGAAATCAAAAAATTTTGGCATGGTTGAGTTCTTGCACAAGATAAATTTTCTTACCAAAAGATGCAATATCTTCAGCAGTTTGGGTGGAGGTTGGCAGCTTATTCTACCAGAGAAGAACAGAGAGGGTGGTAGTTTTTTGAAAGTGACTTTTTTCCTTGTGAGAGAACAAGATGATGTTCATGCTTATGGAAACCCATTACCACAACCTAAAATGTAAAAGCAATTGTCATCATAAATCATCAGTGTTGTGATTAATACGTTAGAAAAGTAATGCATTAGAGGAACTTATTCCTTTTTGTATTATTGTAAGGCCTTACTGATCAGGTATTCAACTAAAATGTTATTGTTTAAAGGAAAGCCCAACAAGACCATAAGCTATTGAAGACAACGTTTTCACCGCTGAGAGTGGAATCAAGGAAGTTATTCCTCACATTTGATAAGACTCAGGGCAGAAATCATATCAATCTTGAATATGCTAGCTTTTCTCAATTGGTGGGTCGCTCAAGCGTTTTGATTTTGAAAGATGTGTGTGAAAGCTGTTGTCACTTTTGTCCGACACTTTCATGTGCATGAGTAAACATGCTCTCCTAATGGCTGTTTCAGGACGCAGCAGTCACATCTAGTTCAAGTCACATTTATGAAAGCAGCAAAACGTCAGGGTTTTGTTCCCTGCACATATCCTGTAGGGTTCCTAAAGGTTCTTTGTCGGATTCCTGTAGTCCTGCATGTACCCTGTAGAATTCCTGCAGGAGTCCAGCGTGTTTACAGTAGAATTCCTGTAAGTTTCCTTTAGGATACCTTCAGGAGTTCTACATGTTTCCTGTAGGATCAGCCTGATGTCATGAGGAAATATAGCTATGT